GCACGGCACGGGATGCCTGGCTTCTCCTTGGGTGGTTTGGCCAGCTGGTTGACCTTGTACTCGGAAAGGGAGTTGAGAAGTGTTCTTAACCCTTGAACGTATTGAATAATGGGTAAGGAAGAGTTTTGCCCAGCAGTTTCACTTCCTTGAGGCCATGCCCACACGGAGGGGCTCCCAAAGCTCTTTGCAGCGGGGCATCTGGAGGGTGCATGAGGGCTCTCTTGGGGGAGGGGATTTGGGGCTTATAGTGTCCTGAGCATGCGGGCAATTGCATGTGATTGTCATTCCTTAGCTGTCTGCATCCCAGAAGAAGTTTCTCTGAATCTTCCAGCTGGCCCAAACCCCGGTCTCTTTTACTGCTCTATAACTGACTGCAGTAGGCATAGGAAGAAACTCTCTTAGTCAATCTGGAAAAACTTGACTGACTATAAACATTACTAAATTGAAAGAAGAACATGGGGTGGGGTGGGCATACTACGGGCGGAGGGGTGTTGTGTTAGACTAGTGCAGAGTGGAGCCTGCAATTTTGAGAAACCTCTGCCAGGGAATGAAGCTAGGACCCATTAGAAATAGGTCTTAAATTGGTGTCGGGGTCACAGAAAACAGGGTCGGTGGGGGCCCATGAAACTTTTAATGCCATCCACTTCAGTACTGCCATTGGACCAATCAGCGACCAAGAACGCTCCCTGGAACTTGTAATTATCTGGCCAATTATCGGAGCTACTTTTTAATGAGCCTCCGGTTGCTGTCCTGGTGGGGAATTTGGAAATGGTGGCTTCTTGCCTGAGCCCATCTGGGGCCTGTCGAGGGCTTTGGGACAGTTCCCAGGCTCAGGAGTATTTGAGGGGGACCAGTGAGCTTGGGAGCAAAGGGCCAAGTGTAGGGGGGGGGGCCCCGCGGGGCAGGAGGGCAGATTCCAGGAGCCAGGCAGAGTGGGTTGGGGACATGCAAACAGTGAGTGGGCTCTCAGAGTCAGGGAGGGGAGGGCCTCACCGCTCACTGGCAACCTGTAATGAAGTTAGACAGGCGGCGATGTTGAACCACAGATCACAGCCCCCCTGTTTTCTCTTGGGTGAAAGGAGAGGCTGTCTCGCTGAGCCCTTCCCGCCCGAGGCCGTGGTGGGCTTGCATGTGAAGGGGAACCAGAGGCTCTGCAGACCCTTGGCACATCCACCAGAGGCCTGTTCATTTGGGAAGGGTGGGTGACAGCTAATCCCCATAACTCCTGTCATTGACCTTGCGTCAAACAGGATTTGGCAGTATTTGTGGGTGGCAATGAGCCTTTGGGCTGTAAAGGTGGCCAGAGTGATCATTTTTCTTAAAGTGCCCCATTTGAAACATTCGTTCTAACCTGGGAACATCTCCTTAGCCACAAGGGACCCTACCGGAGGCCGGGTCAATCCGGGTTGAAGTCTCCATGCTCTTGCTGGGTGGGTAATTCCCTACTACAAGTCCCTCCTGCCTTGAGGACATTCACAAAGCTGGCCCGTGTCTTACTGAGGCTCCTGGTCGGCTAGCCCGCCCTGTCTCCAAACTCTTTGTAGCTGACATGGTCTGCTCGGGAGCCCTTTGGAGAGAAGGAGCTGAGTCTGGAAGTGTTTGCCCTGACAGTGCCAGTCTTTGGTCTAGGATGGAGCGAATGGCTGCCTGGTCTAAACTGGCCTATGACTGCAGACTGTGGAGGAAATGAGCACATTGGTGGATCGAGGCCCTCCATCCCAGGAGAGGAGGAGCTGGGAGCCAAGACCCTATTTCAGGGTAGTACTAGGACAATGCTTTGCGGGTTGGATCTGCTTTGCAATGAGTTAATTTACAGTACGTGGGCATAGCGTCCTGTGCCGCAGAGAGCTAGCCAGGAACCAGCCCTTTCAGGGCACCTGTAACCCTTCCTCATTCATTCATGCCCTTTTCAGACCTCACTCTTGGGCAGGACTCAGGCCCAGCTCTCCTACGACAACCATGTTTGAGGAGCCTAGTTCAACAAACCTGTCTGAGGTGTCCCTTAGGTACCAGACACAGCTCTGGACTCTGTGGCGTGAGAGGGACAAAGATGAATAAAAACAGAGACATAACCAGGTATGACAGTCAAGGCGTACATTCCCGTATGTTGCTGGGATCCTGGAAGCTATCGGTCTCCATTTAGATCAGATCCCTGTGGTAGACAAGTGCCCATGAAGCTTCCAGACTCACGCCGACAGGGAAGAACTTTCTACTTCCATAAAGCATTATAGTCTCAGGAACCCACCAGGGTCATTCTACCCTGCTCTATAGGGTTGCTATGAGTCAGAACGAACTTGATACTCAATCCAGTATAATCCCACTAGCTTGTGATCCTTAACTAGCTGCCTCTGAAAAGACCCTGTTTCAAACAAATGCCACATTCTAAGCTTCCCAGGGGACATGAATTAGGGGGGACCCCAACCCCTCCCAATGGAAGCACAGTGGAGCGGTTGCTCCATAACCAGTGCTCATGGAAGGCTTCATGAAGGAAGCGTCCTTGGAGCCAAGCCTTGAACAAGGGAAAGCGTTTCGGCCAGACGGCACATGAGAATCCAGGTCTGTGAAGCCACCTAGGCATGGGTACCTGGTGGTAATACGGGGAGGGGAGTGAAAAGGAAAGGGAGGATATGTGGCAGGGTCGGCTAGGGGGCAGGAGAGGGACTGAAATCCGGGGGGGTGGGGTGAGGGGGATGGAGATGATGGGGGGCTGTTTGCATCTCAGGCTCAGACTGAATCAGGTCAATATTTGTGAGCATAGAAAAAGGGGGGAAGAGAGGAGAGAGACCCAGACGAGGGATCTTGTGGGCCCAGAGTCACCAGAACCATAGCTGTTTTAACCTTGATGTGTGCTGATGCCAGGGACTGGTCAGAGCGAGCAGCGCATCACCTCCCCCACACTGGCTCCGAAGGCAGCCTTTGCTGGGAATTTTCAAGGAAAACACCAGGCCACACTGCAACCTGGACTGGGAGCAGGAAGGTAGCCTACCTGTCCTACCTGTGGCATCTAGGAAGCATTTTCCATTCTGTAGCATCCGGTCTTGGACTGTCAAGCAATTGACCTTACACTTTGGGTTGTTCCGTGAATACACAATGCTTTCCTCCACTACTCCTGGCGGTCAAAGCTGTCCACACCGGGGACCCATGCCCTGCAGCCAGCTCTCTTGAACTGGGACACCAGAGACTGCATGCTAGACTGTGTTCAAGTGTGACCTGGGAAAACCTGCTACCTTCTCCGAGTGGAAGCTAAGAAGCGCACCTGGAAAGCAAGGGGAAGGACTGGTACAAAGGTCTCCCAGGTCCTGGCTGCTCTGAAACTGCTGCCATCGATTGGCCAGCTCAGGAAAGTTACAGACTGACATACTCCCTGTATTGGGGGGGTGGATTTCTGTGCTCCTCACACAAGCAACAATTCAGGGTTGGGAAACGCACCGAGCCCTCTGGACGGGGCCCTGTGCTGGTAGCTGCCCACTGCACTTGTTTCAGCTCACACGGTCAGTTGTCGTTGGCTCAACTCCAAGTCCCATACAACTGAGCCAAACACTGCCAGCCCCGCACCATCTTCATGGCCACTGGCATAGTTGAGTCCACTGTTAGGGGCTCAGGGGTCCCTACTGTGGCCGCCCTTCCACTGAGACGCTGCCTTGTTTTCCCTCTTCTTTCC